TCAATAAAGGAATCATCAAAGAATGAACAAATTAAACTTACGTATATAGTGTTGTGTTGGTTGTTTTATATGTATTCAAAAACCTGTGCAATTGGAAAACTCAGATTCTTGCCAACAGACTCGTAATCAGTAAAGACTTTTATAGAAATAGCAAATAAAAATATCTGATTTACAGATCTTAAGTCATGTCAAAATAATAAACGTGAAAATATATTGCATAAAAACTGACCGGGGCCAATGTGAAAAATTTTTAGTCCCGGTCCCGCCGGAACCGGGACCACTTTGCAGTTCCCTAGTTTCGTCTATTTTTTATGATTATATTGTTTGTGAATATTGAATTTAGTTATTGCTTGTATATGGTAACACAATTTATGTTTGTCTAGTTTACAATTTCTTGTTATTGTTTGAAAAGAATAAAGTAGATTTTTCGTCACAAATGATGTTGTGCTGTTACTACTGATGACCATACTTATAATGATTGAAAATTTCAATTTACATGTGAAATCAAACTTATATTTTACTATATGGAATTATTTTCACAGATTGTAGAGCCTTTCATGCTGCATTTTGTGATATATTTTGTTCTTTTAATAAAACATACATAGAGATTAAAATATGAAATGCAATGTATGGTAATTTCTTAGGTCAATAATCGTGGAAGCCGGATCTATAGATTTCCGATCGAAAAGCTCTAGAAAATGATCGGAACTTGGAAGCAGGAATGCAGTGATCGAATTTTTCTAGTTTTCATCAGAACTGACCGCAACCGGTCAAAACCAGGCACCAGATCTGATTGCTGGAACTCTGCTTACGAAGGTTTTACCATCTTCCCGAGCTTTCCAGCCGGAAACGGCCGGTATTTCTTAACCTGACTTATTATAGGTCATTCATTATCTATTATCAGCTGATCACACGGTTGTTCAGAAGATTTTGTGACTATCTTTTTATGCCATGTTCATTTTAATTATCTCAGGTAAAAGATAGAAGCCAAATTATCAAAATTACCGTTTTGTTGAGCTTACTGAAGAAGAAGGAAAGCCCATATTGAAGACTAAAACGTATGTGTCATCTCGAGACATAGATCTTTTCGGCAAAGTTTGAAGGAATTTTTTAGCGATTTTCCATTCTCTAGATCAAACTAAAGGTTTTCTTATATCAAAAAATATAGAAAGTATAGAGACCAAATGCATATGTGGTCGACGGCATAAATGCTGTATTCCACATAGCATTAAAAAGTGCAAAATCGCAAATAATTATAAAGCTTGCTTTTTTTAAAGCTTTTCTAGGTGATTATTTTAATTTAATCAATACTTTAGCGTTTTCAATGAGTACAATGATGGATTTAGAGCACAATTTAAAGAGTTATCGATCTCTGTTTCCTGATAGGCAAAATACGAGTTATATAGTAATTTTGAATGTAAAGCCTGTCAATCATTTTATTTTATGCTGTATCTATAGTGAGAAAATTAGATTTAATCTATCGTATATATCAAAAGAATTTCTTGAAATAAAATAAGCTTGTTTGTCTTTAATTAAGTTTATTATTAAATAAATCTTAAATTTATTCTCATATTTCAAAGCGAAGAAGATCTTATGATAAAAGTTTAGTACGCAATTCTAATCAAGTCGTTGCTTTTTCTATTTTAACCCTCAAGGTGATAAGAAAAAAACTTTTCCTTTTTTTTTTTAATATTAAACTTTCACACGTCTTCGTTAGTTATTCCAATTACGAGTAAGTAAGCAATACTTTTGTAATCACTATTTTTTTTCTCATTCTTTGCTTCTTCCTTTTTTTCCGTCAACATCGGTAAACATTCAATTGAATATTCTGGTTCAATCACAATCGACATCAGTCGTCGTCGTCGTCGTCTATTCTTCTTTTTTGGTAATAATAATAGGTAATACAACATCAGAAGTAGCTTCAGGTGTGCAAGCTCAGATAAATTCAGGTGGTCAAGGTCCTGAACTTTATCGATTTGTGGTTTTGAAAGTAAATTTAATTGAAAAAAAGAAAAATTTGTTTTTTTTTTGAAAATTTTCTTCAAAGGGAGGTAGAGAATTCATTGATGTGATGCGTGTAACAAATCGATGCACTTATTCAAAAACATACTCCAAGATTTCTTTATAATAATGGTGAAGGAAAATTGGTAGAAAATGAAATGTTTTTGTTTTCGAAATTTGTTTTTTGCTTTTTGTTCGTTTCAGGTAACAATAAGTGAAATCATCAAATGACAAAATAATACTTACAGTAAATTAAAAAAATATAATTTCATCAACTAAAACACTTGATGAAGATGATATCAATGATAAATGAAATGAAAAAAAAATAAATAAACAAATATGTCATTTGGAAAATTTAGGTGAAGAAACTTAACGTATTTGTTCGGGTCTTGATTTACGAGATGATGTTGGAGAACATATTGTTCATATTTATTTTCTTTCATCAACTCCTGTTCATTCAACATTAGCTAAAAGACTTCTAAGACATTATCCAAGATTAATGGATGATATATATATGGGTGAATGAATATTATGGTTACTTGACTTTGACTTTTTTCTTTTCAATATTTTATATTAAATTTTTAGGTGAAAATATTCTGCATATTGCAATTGTTAATGAAGAACCAGTCACAGTTGAAATTTTTACTTGATGCAAAGGTGGTAATTTTACACAAAGATGTTGTGGAAAATTTTTTTGTCCGGAAGATCAAAAGTCGAGTCGGTAAGAAGAAAAAAAAACAATTTTGATGATTTTTTTTTTCTTGGAATATCAATTTAGGGTGGATAATGTAACAAAAGAATGTCCAGATGTAAGTGTTGCAATTAATTATGGAGGTTATTGTTATTTTGATGAATATCCACTTTCATTTGCGGCTGTTTTACAACAAGAAGAATCAGTAAGATTATTAGTTGCTAAAATTGCTGATAGAAATTGTCAAGATTCAAATGACGATATACCTTTACATATGTGTGTGATCTATAATTGAATTGTTAGTTGGAAAAATGGTGTTGTTATTTAATGAAGGATTTTTTTATTTCTTTTTTTTTTGTATAGAGTATGGTAAATCTATTGCATGAATTAGGTGCATCATTAGATATTAAAAATCGTTAAAATTTAAGACCATTAACACTTACAGCTGTTAAAGCACGTAAAAAAGTAAAAAAAGAAACTTTTTAGTTTTTTTTTCTGAGAAAAGTAAAAGCAAAATGCTTAATTAGATCTTTGATCATATTTCACAAAAAGTTCGAACAATCTATTATCAATATAGAAATGTAATATGTGCAGATTATCCATTAGATGATATTGATACAATTGGAAAAGATGAATCTTTAAATGATACAAGTTCATTAAATATTATTGTTCGTGGAGTAAGTTAAAATCAATGAAGTACAATATATAGGTTTGGAAATCCTACCGCCTGTTTAGCACTTTTTGAGTTTGTATATCTCATCTCGAAACGGACATTATCGAAAGGAAAAATTGTCGAAATAGACAACATCGAAAGAATGATCGCTGAATTTCCTTCTATGATCTATATTAGCAATTCAAGGGGGAAAAAGTAGATTTCAGGACGTCAAAAGATTTTAACGGAATTCAATATAGAGACTCGAAATTTTTACAAGACTTCTAAAAGCTTCTAAGGACTTCAAAAGATTTCACTAGACTTCACGGGACTTCGTAAGACTTCATGAGACTTTTTAAGACTTTCCAAGACTTCATAAGATTTCATAAGACTTCAAAAGACCTTGAGACTTCATCGGATTTCATGACTGAGGTCTTCGCTTTTTTCTCCTAGCAGCGATCTTCGTTTCGACGATCATCCTTAAAGAATTGCGAGTCTAGATTCATATTCTAGATTTAACTGCAGATTCGGTTGCTATTTAGTTTCATATTTGAACAAAACTGTATAATGGACGACAACAAGAAATAACTTTGTATTGATTTGTTTCCTGAGAGTGACCAATAAATAACTAAAATCTTGATCTTTTATTTAGTTATGTGCACAAAAATTGCAAAATATTAGTGAAATCAAAGCTCGGGTTTGGACTCGTCCGAGTCCAAGTCGGCTTTGGACCCAGAAATTTAATTTCTGTCGAGTCCGAGTCCAAAAAATCACGGATCTACAGCTCTTTAATCACTCTTATCGTTTCTTTATTGAATATATATTCCACGTAATTCATTATCTAATTCAACTTACGAATTGTCTCCTTACCTTAGGATCTAAATTGTCAGAACTACTATGATTATTAAGTGTATATAGTAATAACTGATATGATAATTATCAGAGCATTACTAAGACTGTAAATATTATCGCAGAAGATGAATGATAACTTCAGTCATCGAGATGCAAATCGCCGATCCGGATTTGCGGCGATGAGGAGTCATACCTCCAAATCTATAGATGGTTTTCCAAATTCTCGAGTTCGATATTTTCAGTCAGTGAAGTCTTATTTCAAGACAATAGATGAATTTTATAAATCTAGACTGCATTGTGAGAAACAGGCTTACTCTTATCGAAAAAAAAATCGAACTCAAGAATTTTGACAATTAATATATAGATTCGGATCCCTCGACTCCAAAAACTGTTAGCTTAGTTTTATAAAAAAAAGAAAGGTTATTTTATCAGAATAGCCTTGTCTTAACAGAAAATTTTCAAAACTCTATGGGCACTACAACACTTGTTCAACGGGTTTTAATATTATTGAATGGATATTACTTGCACTTATCGCCTTGCAATACACATTTCTCATCAATCATACAGAAAATGTTTTAATATTTCGTTTTTTATCTCTCTTGTAGGAATCCGCTGATCATTTAGATATGATGAATGTTTTAATTGTAAAATTATTAAATGAAAAATGGCGTACATTTATCAAATTCAAGTAAAATTATTTACTCGATTTTCTATTGAAAGTGAATCTACTCATTCAATAGATTTTTTCAATGTATGATTATATTTACAATTTATTTTGGTATATGTTTATTTGGATTATTGATTCGTGGTTATTATCATGTACCATCATCATGTATTATACATGAAGTAATTAATAAAGAAGAAAATATAATGAAATCAATAATTGCTAATCGAATTGAATGTAAATGTCATTATACAAATTTTTTATGACATAAACCATTTCATGATGATGATGATGAAAATAAGATAATAATCATTAATCATAGTTTAAGAATAATAATAAATAATAATGATGAAGAAAATAGAAAATGAACATTTGAACCTATGGTTTTAGTAAGAAAAACCAGAATGATGGAAAAAAATACAATAAGAAATATTTGTTTTTTAGACTCTTAATATTTTTAATGGTTTATATGTTCTTGGTGCATTGATCTATTTAATCCCTACAATAGAAGAATTTTCTTATCAAAATTTTTTGAATTAGATTCATTTATTTCTGTTAATGATCCAATCAGAGTATTATTTCTTTTTTCTTGTATATTAACATTGGCAATGTTACCAGCTCGATTTACTTGTTTAATTATTACTAATGGTGTTTTTTATGTATTTGCAACACTTCCTTGTACACCTTAGTTTTTCTTTTTTTTTTGCCGATAAAAATGAGAAAATGTTTTGTCTATTAATGATAATTAATTCTTTCCTATTCTTTTTTTTCTTTTCAAAGTGGCTTTCGTTCAACAAGTCCATTTGTGGTAGTGATATATACAATGATTCGTAGTGATTTATTACATTTTTGTTTCATATTTCTTGTTTTTATGTTTGGTTTTACACAAGTATTGTATGTTTTGTTTGTTTGAATTGATTACGATAATAATTTTGCTACTATTATTGAAATATTTTTTCATATGTGTTTTGTGTGACACTTTAACAAGTTACCGATGCTTATAAAAATCTTCATCAACATCCAATATTTGCCATTTAAATTATTGGAAAAGTAAATAGAGAGAGTTTCAATGTAGAATATGCAAAGTGAAACGCTTTAGAATTTGAATCAGATATATCTATTACGGCTGAGAATCCACCGCTGCCGCGTCGTGGTCCTAGAAAATGGAAGGCTTCTACATCGCGATCCTAGTGAAAGAAAACTTCCACGCCGCACTTCTGAGAGACAGAAGGCTCTTCCGTCACAGTCCTAGAAGCGAGAAGGCTTCCGCACGCTGGTCTTGGAAGAGAAAAAACCTTTCATTCAGTGATTCTAGGAGAAAGAAAGCTTCTCCGATGCGATCCTAGAAGAGAGACGCCCCCCGAGCCATAGTCCTGGAAGAGAGAAGGCTCCTCCGCTGTGACTAAAATCCGAGTCTATCGTGTCGCTACCACGACTTAGTGAACTATACAGAAAGTTGACGCTGTCGCGATCGTTTTCAAAAAGTCTTTCGGAAATCTTTGTCATCACTGTACTTGGCTACAGCTGTTAGTATAAATCTATGAGATCATCAAGTCTCTGAGTGTTACACCTATTGACATCCAAATTCTGAACAAATTCATGAAGTTTACAATGTCTTATAAAAAGAAGTTGCTGCTACTATGATGGTATTTTTTTAAACATCTTTCACGCCACGCTAATTTCTAAAGAAAAATGCCACTGGCGCACCGCCATGGCCATCACTATTTTGAACATATGAAAGTGTTTCAAAGCCCAAAGCTATGACCACGGATGGTGCGACTGAGAGAGTATTCTCCTCCTACTTTGGCAAGATCGGCGACAATGTTCTTCGAATTTAGGAGAACGTGCGCTCAGATTTGAGAGAAAGTGATCTTGAACTCAAATTTTCCTCGATTTTGGAAGAAAATGATCTGAAATTCCCTTCAATTTTAAGAGAAAATAACCTCAAATTGTCTGCGAATTTCGAAGAAAGTGACCAAATTCTAAGAAATTTTTATCGTCTCCCATTTTTGGAAATTACACCTTGCTTTGGCTCCTTTACGCTGTCCCTGAATATGATCTAACTTTACTAGGAATTGTTAGTTTAAAAAGATAACATTTCACAATAACTTAATCTTCTTCAATATTTGATGATACTTTATATGTGACTTATCACTTATATCGTTACAGCTCCAGTACTTCTTGTTAATATGCTTATTGATAGTATGTTAAAAATATTTGTTTTTTTTTTTCTTTGATTAATTAATGTTATTTAGTGATGGGCAATACATATGCTATGGTAAATGAACGAAAAAAAGAATGGCTTCGACAATGAGCAAAAATAATGTTAATTGTTGAACAATCAGTTTCACGAAAAGAACGTTTAGCACAACAATCAAATGATTCAAAAGAAATACCTGTTGGTACACGAGTTTTAGTAACAAGACTAATACAAACAGTAAGAGTTATTTGATTCGATTCCAAACTGAATTATTTTGATGAATGTTTAGTCTGAAGAACGTACTGGCATTGAAACTATGTGTACACTTTATTATGAACAATTAAGATGACATTTAGAATCAGAAATGACATCCATACAATCGAAAGCAAAATTAATTGCTGCTAATTCATAACATGGTTCTTCTGTTTATGAAGTTATAGAAATTAAAAATAAACAATATTCATTTCGAAATCAACAAGTACGTGGTAGTTTCAATTCATTTAATACTACTATACCTATATAAATTGATTGATTTTTACTTTAATGAAAAAGAATTGTATGATTTTTTTTCTTGATATATACATGCAGCAATTACTCAAAGAAGTCTGTGACAAACAAGTTCGAGTAATCAACCTTTATTTCCGAGTATTGATGGAGTACTCTTGAAATTTATATGCATTAAAAAATATTTAATAGCATATCGTTTCTCATTTGATACAAGTAATTGTCATTGTTGTATTGTCTCAATCACAGGATACATGTACATTGAATCTCGCGCTAACAATGAGTATTTTAGAAAGAGCAAAGTTAACTCTACTGGAAATATTTGCTCTCCTCTTTTTAACTATAGTGCTATTAATCGGAGTGATTTTTGATTCCATTGCGGGAAGAAGAAATTTAATGAAAATATATTTTGGAATTTTTCAGTTTCAGAAAATACTTGCATTTTTCATTATTTAAAATTTGAAGTCGGTTATTAAAAAGATTCATTGTCATTTTTTATGTCAATTATAAGTGTTTGTCTTGATCAACTAACAAAATTATACGAAGGTGAAAAGTTGTTGATAAGTAATGCAGTGACTTATTGCTGTTCGAAATATCCTAATAGTATGGAAGAAGAAAAATGTCAATTGGAGTAAGAATAAAAAACATAAACGTCGCTTAGAATTAATGACAAGTTTAACCACTCATCATCTTGATTTACGTTCGAAAACCTCGACATTTTTACAGAAAGATATGCCAAATGCATTAGCTCTTGTTTGTTATCCTATGATGGAGAAAGCGCAGAGAAAATCATATTCAAATTATGATCGTTTAAAAGACAGAAAAACTCTAAATCAACGTTATAAATGTTCACAATCTGCTTTTAATGAGCATTCTGTTGAAGAGATTTTTTTTGTAGACTTCTAAATCGTCGTTCTAATCAGTCTTGCCAATAGGCCACTTTTTTCTGGCCTGCAGATCAACTGATGTTTCGGATTTTTTTCAATCTACTAAACTCGATAACTATATATTAATATATCATTACTAGCTTCAGTTATTTACTTAATTTATTTTGATAAAGAAAGTACGATAACGAGTTCTCATACCAAAAAGTAAATTAAAACAAGAAGATAAATCATCATAAATATTTTTCATACAAGAAAAAAACAATTATTATTTGTTATACATATGAATAAACATTAAGTGAATTAAATACAAATATTAATCATGTTATTATTAGTCAATATCAACAAACATTCTAAGCTTTTCAATAATAATGATCAATCATTTTTGTTTTACAATAAAATTATCCTTTCATTACATTTGTTACTTGTTCTTTAAATGTTCGTTGTATTGCTCGATTTACTTAATATTCATCATCAAATAATCGTGTTGATCAATCAATTTCATCATATATGGTTTAACAAAGTGATTATATATATGTAACAAGATAATGGTGGCTGTAACGAATCACAATGCATAAAGAGAAGAGGAAAAGGTCAGGAATTTTAGTCTTCATTTCTTTTCTGTAATTCATGACAATAATTTTAATAAATTCTTCTCCATTAACAATAACTTCCATCATAAGCATTTGTAGATCAGAAACTTTTTTGGTTTTATCTGATCTTAATTACACAAACTATTTATTTCTAAAACTAACGGCTGGTGTAAAAGTTCTGCATTAATTTTCTTTTCAGTATAGCGTGGCAACGAATCGTTATAGAGACTTGATCTTTTTCTCGTTGAAAACAGATAAGTGTCTAATAGAAAATTGGGTAAAAAATATTTGATTCAAAATGTTTACTAAAAAGTCTTAAAAACACGTTGGACTGAATAAGTGCCTTTCAACTTCTGGAATTCAGAAGAAGAAATTTCATCTACAAAGAGAGTTGGTCTTTTCTTTCAGCTTTTATCGAGTTTTATAGCACTACGATCGGACATTGTAAAAGCGTAAAAATAAGATTTTCAAGTGACCGGTTGAGTTCGAAATCAACATTTTTCTAACATCTTTTGTTAGTGCAAATTTTTCACAACTTATGAATGACTTCGAAAAATAAGATTTCTTCCAACATTGAAGTTAGCAGAAACCGCCGATTTTATATGAAATTAAAGCTTATTGAGTCCTCTACAAAAGCAAATTATATAAAACAGAATTCAGTTTCTCTGTTAAACATTACGAGAAAACTTTCATTGGACGTTGTAGACGAACAATCAACTTTTTAATAAATATGTTTCCTTTGAAGTCTGTGGTTTTGTAACTGGAATGTTTTTGTATGATTAGAAACTCCACGTTGCATCGGTCAGACACACATAGAACGTGCCTCCAAACATCGAAAGCCGAGTACAAAAAAAAAATTAAACAAATGCACTTCTCGTCTCTAGTTTTGAGTTAAGTTGAAAGGCACTTTTTGGGTCCAACTGATTCTTAAGGCTTTTTAGTCTTTGGTAACTATTTTGAATCGAATATTTTTACATACTTTTGTAGTAGACATCTTGCTCTTTCTAACAAAACAAAGATTAAGTATCTATGAAGATTCGTTGCCATGGTATACTGAAAAGAAAATTAATGCAAAACTTTTGCATCACCAGTTATTTCAATTTTTTTTTCTAAAGTGTATACACAGACAGATAGAATATTTTCATTTGTAGCAATTTTTCATTCAGTATCTATTTTCACACATTATTCTTTATTACTTCTATCTCTCTGTTTCAATGCTTTAATTCTATATAAATTAATCTGCTTTTGTTCATGTTTTATTTAAAGAACAAATCAACAATAATCAATCTATTTGTGTATGAGAAAAATAGTCCTTTATATATTCAGGAATTTGTTGTTTTCCAGTAGAAAAGTTGTCAGAATATCCAGCATATTGCATTCCTGTACTTAAATTTACATAATTAATTTTCGCACAATTATTTCTTGTTCTATTTCTTGTGAAATTGTATGTCACTTCTTTCACTAATCCATACTTCATATAAACACGAACACCAAATGCTAAATCCATTTTAGTATCGAATAAGAATTGTTCATAATAATCTATGCACGTTTGAATAAGGTCAAGTTGTTTAAGATAAGGATATTTAATGATTGATAGATCTTGATTTTTATTGTTTGATTTTCTAAATTGTTTATTAATTTGTCGTTGTTTATTACGTATAGTTAATTCTTTCATGAATGGAAATAATTTCTGAGTTCGAAGAAAAAATTCATGTTCAAAAGGACGTTCATCATATAATGATACTTTACGAACATTTATAAATATTCCACCTGGAAAATTATTCGTTATCTTATTGTAATATTTCAGTTGATATGGATATGAATAAATATGACAATAACTTTTTTTTACTTCTGGAAAATAATCAGTCCAATAGATAATTTGTTTATTGTTAAAGTTACTAAATGTCTTTTGAATATCTTCATTTGATGGTAAATTCATTTCATTATAAAAACTACTTAATGAACAAATATTAAATGTGAATTTGCTTAATTGTGGCATATGATTAATAATATTCATCTTCAAATCATTACCATCAAAAAATGTTTTTCTTTCACCAACATTAATACACAAATCAAGCTTTTCTAAATTTGACATTCTATGTAAAAGTGGTAAAATTAATTCATCATAAACAAATGTTATTGTTTCACAGTGTAACCAAAAGCATTTTAAACTAAGTAGGTAGTTTTTTCTAGAAGAAAACAATATTATTAATTCATTTAAATTAGATATTAATTCAAAAAATAATTTACCATATTGTTAACTCTTCTATTCAAATAGCCAATGATAACGAGATCAATATAAAATGTATGAAGTTGATTGAAATGTCCATCAAGTAAATAAAGACAATCATAAAAACTTGTCAAGCTGACATGTAATTCTAACAAATTTGTAGAAATAACAGTTAGACGTGTAAAAAAAAAGGATAATTGTTCATCGCGTATTGAAGATGGACCAAAATTTAAATATTGTAAATTAGGGAACATAGTAAAGATACGATAAAATATAATTGCATTATTGTTTATTAGATCATGTTGTGTTCTGTCTGTACTAATATCGATAGTAGTAAGTGATAAAAGTTGATTTTTCAATGTACGAATTATGGAAGTTTCATCTAAACAATGAGAAGAGTAAAAAATTATTTTATATGAATGCTTATATTTATGAATACTTTATTCATTTTTTTAATAATGATATTATTTACATATTTGATTTTTTTTTCTTTAGACTTATTTATTTATACTGTATCTTAAATGTTATATTAACTATCTATTTTATTCGACATTTTCTTTTTCAAAAATTTCAATCAAACTTTAAATTGGAGATAATATCTACGTCTTTTATTTTTATATTTGCTTAAGTCTCATGGGAAATCATCTCTTTGATGACGATCTTCTTCTCTTCATACTAACAAATACGAATGAAATGAAAAATCATTTTAAACTTAATAATATCTCTAATTATTTAATTCAGGAAATCAAAAAAATTTATCTATGAATTTATTTCATTTATAGATTTCATATGTCTATTATTGAAAGAATACAAAAAAAATATCTTACCAGTAAAAAGATCTACAGCTGTTTTTTCTTGAATATTATGTAGACTAATTCCGTATAAATTAGGATAATTTGTAACACGAAGAATACGTTCCATTGAAAGTGATTCAAGATGAAACTATTGAATTTTTTGATGAATTTTAGGTAAAATATGTAAACAAAATCGATTAAGTATTAGATTAGGTAATGAATAAACTAAATCATCCGGTGTAGACATCAAAAGAGACAAATCATTTGTAAAAATAGAGTCATGTGCAATTTTATTTAATCATTTATTGACACCTGATAAAGAATAAAGTATTTCTGCATTAAACAATTTTTTAAAAATATAAATAAGAATTTCATCTGGTAAATCATTCAATTGAATACATAAATATTCCATGATCATCTATATCTATATCTATTTTACTCATCTCATAAATGTCAGTATTTATATTGACATACTCAAATATCCTCTGTCTAACCGATGTCGTCCATAGAAACAATGATACATTTTTCTATAATCTTAATTGACGATGAATGAATGGATAATCATTCGAGTAATATTTTTTTCTCTCTCTCTCTATTCCCTCGACTGAAGGGGCGATCACATATGAAACAAAAAAAAAAGATACATTTGTATGTAATCATCAATTGACCTAAATATAATGGAATTGATTTTTTTAAGGAGGGTGTGAGTGTGGATGGGAGTCTTTCTTAGTACATCCATATCCACATCCACATCCCACCATAAACATGTGTACTTAGTAGTTACCTGATGATCATTATACTCTTTAGATTTTATCGTACTTCTAATGTATGTTGATGGTCGAATTGGGTAGAAGTTCTTCTTATAAAAAAAAAGAGTATGTGAACTCGAATTTTATCTACGAAAAAATCTTCTGCTTACACATGCGCTTGTAAGCATATAAGTTTGATTAGGTTAAAAATAAAAAGCTGTTCATAAATATATTTTGATAGATATGAAATTAAAACAGAAATTTTCGGCAACGTCAGTTTTTAGCGTAGTTCTCATTCTCATGTTTCCGTTCTCGAATTCTTTACGGAAATTCCCATTCCCGATTCCTGCGAGAAACGGGACGAGAAAATACGGGAAAAACTCGTTCCCGCAAGACACTAGTTGAAACAGATTTTGCAAGTTTTTTGTTTTGTTTCGTAATGTAAAAAAAGGAACCGAAATATTTTATCGAAATCCACTATGAATATATTAATTATTCTACTATTTATTGTAGTGTTTGACCATCAAAAATGGTCTTGTCTATATCTCAGCTCTTATTCTACTCAAATCACTCGCAATTAATACTAAAGTATCTATCAATCATGCTCTATTTATGCTGCTAAAATCAGATTTCTATTTCTTGTCGTTTGCGAATGGTTTAAAAAATAAACTAGTTTTTTTTTCGCCTATTTCATGTGTTTTTATGATTATTCTTCATATTTGCCTTTTCTTCTTTCCTTTTTTTGGCTTCAAATCAAAAAAGTATAGAATGTTTAATTAGCTTTCTTATATTATTTTTGAATGTTCTATCTATGCATAACTTTATTTTCATTTTGGCTGTCGTCGTATCACAAAAATTTGGCATTCTGTCAATAGTTCCGAAAAACAGGAAAAAAAAACGTTTTCCACGCCTCTTTGAGTCTAGTATGAAGCTAATAAACACCTCAAGTCAAATCTTTCTTCATAAAAAAGATTTATTGATTTGATTGTTTTCGATTGCTGAAAATCACACGTTACTAGCTTTTCTGATTTTTGAAAAATTCACATCTTAGTGGAATTCACTGGTATGCGACACATAATCTGTCCTATCCATCATGCCTATTTCCTAAAGAAATATCAGATAGAAATAAAGTTATGGTAAAATTTATATGTTGAACAGTACGTCGATATGGTGAAAAATGCTTTAAATTATTTTCATGATTTTTTTTACTTATTTCAAAATGTTTTGCAAAAAAAAAACAAAAATATAATATTAGTTGCTTTTCGTTTTCGGAAAGATTGTTTAGAAATTTTACACCTGAAAATATATTTGTGAACAAATAAGAAAAGATTTTTTCGTTTACTAATCAAAAACTAGATTTAGTTTCTTGACGATGAAACATATGCTTTGTTTGAATGGAATGTGTTATTAAACATTCACGTTCGGATTCGACATTTGTATGTACATAAATATCCAAAACTTCTTAAAAAACAAAAATTTTCGAGAAAATGCCTGAGAATACAAGTAGAACTCGCTTAAAACAATGTGATTAAGCATAATTAACTATTGATACTTAAATTATAAAAATTACTGAAGAAAAATTCTGCATTGAGCAACTGTATTCTATTTTCGAATGATATTGGGAAAACATAATTGAGTTTATGAGTTGACATTTTCTTAACTAGGAAATCATAGGCAGTTTCATCTATATATAAGTTGACGTTTGAATTAAAATCATCATTTGAAAACTGTAGAAATATTTTTTTACGGATTTTTATAGAGTTTTATATGTATAGAGCCTACGGACTGATCGTATGTGATAGAACAGGAAGAAACTAACTTCTCACTAAAATCGAGTTATGCAGCTTCTGCTATCCTAATAGATCTCATATGCTAGTTAAATCAGAAGAGCCATGTAGTCTCCGTTTAGAACCGAAATGTATCATTATCCACGTCAAGACTTATATA